TACATAGGAACAAAGAATGTAGGCCATACTTACAGAATAGGGGACTATATCCTGGGAAGCAGTGACTCTGAAAAAGATTTCAGGGTTGTGGTGGATAATCAGCTGAACATGAACTCCTAACGTAATGCTAGGGGCAAAAGATCTAATGCTATCCTTGGATGCATAAACCAAGGAATCTCGAAGAAGAGTAGAAAGGTTATATTTGGCACTGGTGCAACTGCTGCTGGAATACTGTGTCCAGTTCTGCTGTCCATGATTCAAGAAGGATGTTGGTAAATTAGAGAGGGTTCAGCGAACAGATGCAAGAATGATTAAAGGATTAGAAAACATGCCTTTCAGTGATAGACTTAAGGAGCAAAATCTATTTAGCTTAACAAAAAGAAGGTTAAGGGGTGACGTGGTTGCAGGCTATAACTCTCTTCATGGGGAACAAATATTTAATAATGAGCTCTTCAGTCTGGCAGAGAAAGATATAACATGATCCAGTGGCTGGAAGTTGAAGCTAGACAAATTCACTGGGAAATAAGGTGCATATTTTTAACAGTGGGAGTTATTAACCAATGGAACAATTTACTAAAGGTCATGGTGGATTTTCAATTACTGACAATTTTTAAATCAAGACTGGAAGTTTTTCTAAAAAATCTGTTCTAGGAATTATTTTGGGGAAGTTTTATGGCCTATGTTACAGAGGAGGTCAGACTACATGATCACAATTGTCCTTTCTGGCTTTGGAATCTATGCACCTGTGAAAGTTTGTGAAGGGGCTCCACTTGGTATGAGTGGGTGGAAAGCAACATATTTCAGTTCCCTGTTCTTAGTGGCTAGCCAGTTTGGCACTTAATACAAGACTTTCTATTCCTGTGTAAAATGCTAGTTTAAATCATAAGAATCAGAGCAACAGGTTCCTGACAAACTAGTGTATATGGTGTATATATACAGAAGGACCAATCCTGTTGGGCCTTACTCCTACTGACTTCAACAGAAAAGCTTGCAAAAGGCCAGCAGGGTTTGATTCACAAAAGCTTTGACTAGAGAAGGCTGCTGTACATGCTGTCATTGTATTTGCCACAGGAGGGCAGTCGAAGAATATTATTAAGATGTTTTCCATTATAACTGGATTACTCCTGAGGTTACTCCTGGGCTTGTGTCAGCCTCGGCAAGCCAGCGGAAATGAGTGCTGAATCTCTTTGACTCACTGACTGAAAGTTTACCAGTGTTTTGTGACCCTGCAGAAGGACCTTTTGGTTTATCTGCAATACGCATACAAATAGCTACCTCTTGAGTGGGGTGCCATGAGGATTAAATAGTAGGGTCCTATCATACCTTTAATGCACAAGCCTGCAATATGGCTGGTGCAGAGATGCAGTGTCCTGGCTGGAGTTCTGGTAGGCAGGGAGCATGGGGCCATTGCTACACAGGGGTGCACCACATTTTCTTTTCTGTGGCCAACCAGGATATTGGCCTCACATCCTTCCACTCCTTCCCCTTAAGGCAACATGAACCTGCTCCCCTCCCTGCATGAGGATCTCCTTTCATCACCTCTCTCCACTTGAGTCCATTTGTAATGCACCTCTGAGTCACAGTGGCTACGCTGCTTCCTCCTTGCTCTGGGGCTGGGGAAGTAGTAATTTGCTGGTGGTCTACCAATACTTAGCTAATTACAGCACTCATCCCCAATCCCACCCCTTTGCTCAGTGCCAGCCAGCAAGAAGTGATGGAAGAGCCAAGGATCCTGTCATTACCTTCCCAACATACCTCCTGCAGGTGAGGAGTAGTTGACATGTCTTACCTAGTATCTCCTACCCATCTGGGTTCAAGATCCATGTAACCTATGCAGAGATGGAAGAAGGTTCTGATTTCTGTAACAGGGTGGCCTGCCTCTTTAAGGGCCAGGAGGGATTGGGTCAGCCAGCTCTGTTCAGTTAGCCCCACTCCATTACACTTATGTTGAGTGTTTAAAAGGAGGAAAGCCAGTGGCTGTTTGCTGGCTGGGGAGGAGATTCCCTGAGCCAGAGATGTGCCTTTCCAAACTTGACTCTCCAGGCAGGAGGCCCTGGGAGTTGCTGCTTGACAGAGAGTGAGAGGCAGCTGCAGAGTTGCAGGTGGTAAGAGAGTGGCAGTTAGCAGGAGGTTCCTGCAACAGAGCCTTGGCCATGTGGGAGGGCTCAAGCCTGGAAGCCAGAGGCAGAGGGCTGAAGAAAGTTGAGGACCAGGGGAGTAGTAGAGGGGTTTGCCTGCTGACCTCCCAAGCTGGAGAATAGAACGCACTGAGAGAGTGCTGGACCCTCTTCTGGGGAAGAAAGAACTGCAGATAGGAAGACCGGAAGGTTTCTTCTGGGAAGAGCAGAGACAGACTCTAGCTAGAAGGGGCTGGAGTGGCTACTTGATAAAAAGCAGACTGGGACTGAACAGGTGTTCTGGGACTGGCAGAGCTGAACAGGTATTGTAATAATAGAATGTATTTTGGGATTGAGGGCAGTTTGAATTGTTTATGTTAATAAACCCAGATGCCAAGAAGGGGTATTATTGGCCACAAGAAAGCCTCTAGTACAGTTATTGAATGAGGGGCCTTGACTCAAGGGAAACTGAGGCAGGGCACCCCCAAGTTCCCTGAAGCCAGAAGGGGGCACTCAGGAAGCAATGGGCCCTTGTGCACTTCCTCTGTGTTCCGTTGTATAGGCTTGCAGTCCAAGTTACAATCTAGCCCCAGAGTTTTCAATACAAATGGAAATATATCCCCCCCCATCACTTCCCTCATTGCAAAGCATCATTTTACACATTTCATACTTCACTTACTTATTTATCAGATTCTGGATGTCCACATAGAAAAACACTGATACTTTAGGGATGGAGGGCACTGTGCTGAGTGGCTAGTGTTTGGCTGTGTGCACTTATCACCGTTATCACCACCTACCCACACCCCTTGCCTTCCAACAACCACCATGGCTGTATCGCTTTTTCAAAATGCCTCACACACATTAAAAAATTTAGCCTCACACAAATAAATATTATTGGGCTTGATTCACCCTTGTGTTTCAATGGGGGCTCCTGCACTTCAGAGGGAATTCACTGGGTGGGGAGTTTGCTTGTCCAACACTCGTTAGGCAGCTTTAAACTGCAGTTGAGCTCCAAACGAACAAATCAGCTCAACCTGTGAGAGAACTGGCCATGCCCTCTTGCCAGCCATCACCTCCCACCTTTGGGGTCACATTGGCCAAGTCAGGGCATAGGGGTCATGTGCATCTTGCACAGATGCAATTCTCTTCCAAGTGGATTTTTTGTCTTGCATGTCACTTCAGGAGCCATCAGCAATTTCAAGGACCTTGCTCAGTGAAGAGTCACCTCAAGGAGGTATTAACTGCAAGTTACACACCACTTGAGAAATTTGCTCCCATAGGAGCAGCTTGCCTATTTCTGTATTTAGACTTCACTGTGCTGGCTTTATGATTTGTGAGCCACTAGCTCAGCCCTTTGGCAGCTTGATTTGTGGCTCGTCATGAGTATAGCTAACAAAATGCAAACATATTGCAAGCCCGAAGAGGCCATTTTTCCACAGTTTGCATTTCTTAGACATACTGAGGTCCAAATTTTCAGAATTATTTGAGATAACTGTACATACAAACAGCACCCAACAGGTCATTTGTGTGCAAATTATTCAGGGGCCTTTTTTTAGGGCTTGTCTTCATTGCAGTGTGATCTTAAAGTCTAATTTGAGTGTTACCTCCAGCCTGACTCCCAGGTACACACACAAATCTCTAGTAAAAGTTAAGTGGTGTTTTAAATTTGAACTAGCTGGCCATCAGGGGATATGGATGGAAGCTTGAGTGCTGCCGATGCTAGAGAGTGTTGTTTCACAATGTGACTGGTCTCATTTGAGTTAGGCTAACTCAAGAGGAGTTAACTTGAATGCAGATAACTCAAGCTTGCAGTGAAGACAAGCCCTGAGTTCTGAAAATATGGGCCTGATAGGTTACATAAAGCTGATGCTTCAAAGCAACTAATGGGAACTGAGGTTTTCCTCCTAGATCATGTTGCACTTGGAATGCTAGTTGCACTCTAGAAATCATAAAAGTCTGCAGACTTTCTTCAGCAGCATTATTGTTATAGGCAGAGCTGGTAGCACTGCTATAGTTAAGGTTGCCTGGCACTTCCCGTTATAAGACCCTTTTACAACTTTGCAAAACTTCAACTAAATATGCTGGGTGTCTGCATCTGGATTTGTTGACCCCCAAATAGGGAAGAGACAAGAAAAAATAAATAAAAAGAGGGTATCTACCTCAGGATGATTTTTTTTTTTTTTTTAGGAAAGTTTCAGCACAATTTGTTCAGCTGGTTTCTGAGCATGAGATTAGGCAAAATACATAGTTTTCCCCATTTAAAAAAAATCTTACAACCATCTGGGGCTCCTCGCTTTGAAGCAGGGACTTGAAATTTGGCAAGAGCTTGTCTATGTGTCAGGGATGTGCCTTTTGCTGTTCCTGTGAAAATCTGCCCCAAATTGGCCAAGTTATAAGCCTTTGAAAAATCTCAGTTCACACAAATGATGCAAGAGTCCTTGGGGGAAAAATAGTATTTGATCATGTAATTAAAGACTATCATAATGCATACACACAAGAGCAACCTTAAATCTGGCATTGTTTAACCTTTGAGTGCTTGACTTTGCAACCTTTTAGATTTTTTAGATTTTTTTTTTATTTAATCATTGAAGAAGCACAGCAGTTGTAAAGAATACTGGTAAAATGTGCTAGACCAGTGGCTCCCAAACTTGTTCCGCCGCTTGTGCAGGGAAAGCCCCTGGCGGGCCGGGCCGGGTTGTTTACCTGTCGCGTCCGCAGGTTCGGCCGATCACGGCTCCAGGCCAATGGAAGCTGCTGGAAGCGGCGGCCAGTACGTCCCTTGGCCCGCGCCGCTTCCAGCAGCTCCCATTGGCCTGGAGCAGCGAACTGTGGCCACTGGGAGCCGCGATTGGCCAAACCTGCGGACGCGGCAGGTAAACAACCCGGCTTGGCCCGCCAGGGGCTTTCCCTGCACAAGCGGAGGAACAAGTTTGGGAACCACTGTGCTAGACAAATAACAGGTTCCTTTCTCTGAAGAGCTTACAGTCCAAAGACACAACTGGGTACTATGCAGACCAGAAACATATACAGAGCCAAATACAGATAATGGTCTTTGTAGCTGGAATATTTCCTTGAGCAGGTTTTGAGACAGAAGAGAGGGAGGCCACTGACATCTAAGTAGAAGGTGCAGTATGAAACATGCAAGGATAGGACTAGGTTCTGCTACTTTTACTGACCTTGAGGGACACCTTTCTCTGGGATTAACCTCATTTAAATAAGTGAGGCTCCTCATGTGGTAATAGACAACTTGGGGTCTACTCAGGATGCAGCTGGTCAGAAAAATGGATTTTTTGTTGACAAACACAAAATATTTCATTAGTATTGCCTACATTTTCAGCAGACATTTTTTGCTTTTTGATGAAAAACCAAAAGCCAAATATTTTTTCAGATTTTGGCACCAAAAAATGAAAAAAAAATTGGGCCAAAAATTGCCTATCCCCAGGAGGTTTGGATTTTGTTCGAAATGTTTTGGTGTTCAATTTTTCAACAAAAAATTGGAAGTGTTTGTAGAGAGCAAACACTATCCAAAATGTTTCATTTGATCAGAGGATCAATGTTCTGTTGAAAAAAGTTGTGATGGAAAAATCTTCAGCCCGGCCTATTCAGTGTGAGTAAAGGTGGCCAATAAGAGAACAGGCAAAACAGAAGTTTGGAGAGAAGTGAGGGAGTAGGAGGTGAAACAACTAATTTGGAGATGACAAAACCTCCATTGACTCTAATGGGAGGCAGCTCTGACCCTTAAAAGTGTTTGTGTGTATGCGTGTGTGCGACCGCGCGTGTATGCAGATATAAAAGGAAAATATTTTGTCTTATTTTCAGTTAACTTTAGTTTAATGGTAAAGGAAAGATTGGTCCATATTTAACCTTTACTTTTCCATGCTCTTCTTTTAAGGTTCGTACGAAGGATCGTGTATTTGACAGCATAAGCCATCTCATCAACCATCATCTTGAGAACAATTTGCCAATAGTTTCCGCTGGAAGTGAACTCTGCCTCCAGCAGCCAGTTGAGAGGAAACAGTGACCCATGGTGACATGTTCAGCATTTGTAAGCTATAACCACTGCAGTGGACACTGCAAACCTGGAAACACGTACATTAAAAAATACACACATATATCTATCTATCACCAATATGTTTTCTTGAGCTTTAAAAAGCCCCATCCCGTACAGTACCACTTGACATTTCTTACTGCTCTATGCAGACATGAAGTATGATTAAAAACACAGATAGATTTCTTAAAATGTAATTTCAATAAAATTATTCTGAATCTTTAATGTGAATATTGACAGTGTACATACACACATTATACATAAATACAGTAATATATTTATATTTTTCAAGTCTGTCTGTTGAAGGTATGGAACTAATGTTCTGTGCCATGTGTTTTTAACTGAAAAAGATGCCCATTGTGATTGTTCAGATAAAAATAGAATTCAACAGTCTCATTTCCTTGAGAATACAATATTAGAAGTCTTATTTGTAATTTTATCTAATAAGCACAATTATGGTGAGAACACAGGCGGATTACATTGGTTAAATACCAGTTGAGGGGATTAAATTCAGTAGCTCGTATTCTAACATGGAAATTTAGCTTGAAACAATTTTTAAAAGCATTATTCAGTGTCACTGAGTTCAAAAGCATTTTCTCTTTTTGATGTCCAGTTTGAATTCTTATATGATGCTACTCAAGATATGTGTAACTTGCTTTGACAATGACTTGGTGTGATCTCTCCGTGTACAAGGTGTATGCATTTAATTTTTCTAACAATAATATAATTGAACTAATATTCTGCAGCTTTGATTTATTAAATTCAATACTAAGATTATTTACAAATAGTTCACTTCTTGTGCTAAAGAATTAATTGTTTTTGACTGCCAGTCACCAATGAGATGTCATACATTGATTAAGAGGGTTCAAACTGCTTGTTTTTTTAATATATTTGGTGCAAGATGCTTGTGGTTGGTCAAAAAGACACACACAAAAGTTTTTTTTTTTTCTCATAGAACAATGACAAAAATGAATACCTAGAATGTTAGTCCATTTAAATGATCTAACTTTGATTCACTTAGTTTTTATGTGCCTCTCCCTAAAGTATAGCTTCAAGTTAACCTTCAGCAAGTGATTGTTTTTATAAATTTATTGGTTGTCTCTAATTAGCAGTGTGGAAAAAATATATATATATTAGAGTTGCTTTTTTGGCAGATATTTCATTAACATTTGGTACTGGGAAGTGTACATTGAAAAGTGCATTCTCACACACACACACACACACACACACACACACACACACACACACACCACACACTTCATTAATTTGCCTTTCTTTTGGAATGGACTTTGTCTTTCAGTTATACATATCTAACTGAGGGCCAAATTCAGCTCTCTGTTTAACTGATGCAACTCCCATAGACTTCAGTGAAGGTTGCACCATTGTAACTGAGAGCAAAATTTAAACTTCAGTATTTCTAAGTCAGAAATTTAAACCAAGTTTCAGAATTTGATTAATAAAGACCCTGATTAAGGAAGGTACTTACACTCATGTCTACCCTCAAGTATGTTAGTTCAACTGAAGTCAATAGACCTGTCATGTCCTTAAAGTTAGACATGTGCCTAAGTATTTTGCTGAAATGGGGCCAAGTTGACTTCAGGATTTGCTTTAGAATCCATTCCTAGGATGACAGTTTTAAAACTCACAAATAATGTCCTCCTTGTGCCATGGACTACGCAAAGGTCATTACTTTGCAAGTTTGTTTAGGATTAATCTCTAATTTCAAAAAGGAATCCCACAGCTGGTCTAGAGCTCACTACCTGAAAAGAGCTATCAGAGGAAGAACTGACTTTCAAAGATTTTTGAGAATTTAAAATTACATTTTCACCTCTAATCTCTCCATCTCAGCATGTTTCACTTCCCAATGCATTGCCATGGGACCAGCCCACAGCTAGCCCCTATCACCCTGTCTACCCAGTCCCATGAAACTTCCCAGCCTATGTTGATCCCTTCCTGGAACTCCTTTAGCCATTCAAGACTCACCCTAGCTGGCATCGCACACTAAATCACTCATCTGGCTTCTCTCTTGGATCCCCACTAACCACTCCCTGACACATCTTTACATCTAGGCCGCAGAGACTGATTATCACCACCACTTCCCCATGCAGCAGTTGGACCTTCTCCCCATCAGACCACACCCAAATCTTCTTTCTCCCCCCCCCTACCCCGTTCCCTATATGTGGGGGGAAGTAGATCTTCTTTATGCCTCCTAGTAGGCAGGGAATTATGGCTGCATCCTTCCCTTTTTCTCCTTGCTGTGATGATACAGCTGTTTGCTTCAGTTCCCATCTCCTCTGCACAGAACAGTAGGTTTGGCTAGGAGCAGAGAGCACAGGAAAGGAGTCAGATGGATCATAACAGTCCCCCATGGCATGGATGGAGATCTTCAGATTAGGTCTGCCCTATTCGATGCTGGAATACAGAAGGCTGAAATATGGAGATACTTAAGTGTTATATCCTTGGGGGCAACAGTTTTAGGAAGAAATCACTGGAGACACAGAGAGCTGTAAATCTTGGAGCAGCCATTTATTGCTACACACACAACTAACCAACAGCCAGCCCAACTGGCTGGGCTATCCCCTAATAATCTAACTCCGTTGCCACTGTAACACAAGATTCTGTTACCACGACAACCAAATACACAACATATTCCTCCCCCCTTAATAAGAATGTCCCCAAAATAAAACAAACACTAACTGCCTCCAGTCCCGGCTAAACCCCGGGGATTATTTTGCCCTGTAACCGTGGGTTCACCCTAGCTAAAGATCCAGCCTACGAGGAGGCCTTCTGTCTCTAGATTATGGCGGACTTCTGGTATTGTTGCACCCAAAACCGTCTTGGGCGCGGGCCTGACAATGGGCTCAGGGTTCGTAGGGCGAAGGGGTGAGGATGGGGTATCAGCTCATGCCGGGCAGAGGGGTATCTCTGCCGCTGGCAGTAATGGGGGGGAAAGTCAGGAACAGGTGACTCTTGATTCAGTGTCTCGCCGGAGGTGGTGAAGTCAGGCAACTCAACTGAAGATGAGTCCTGAGGACTGGTATGACCTGGCAGCAGCTGATCTACATGTCACCGCCAGGTGAGATCCTCTGCAGTCCGGATTGTGTAGGAAACAGGTTCCATTTGAGCGATGACAGAGGCAGGGACCCATTTAGCTACAGAAGTATAATTCCGAGCCAAAACCAGCTGTCCTGGGCTAAAAGTTCGGTCTTTCGCTCTGGGTGCACGCCTGATGACTTGATCTTGCTGCTGATGTTGCACAATTTGTCGGGTTTCAGCAGATCAAAGCAAGTGTACAGCTGTCATCCCATCATTAGAAAGGCCAGGGATGCCTTGGTCATAGCATGAGGTGTGTTTCTGTAGGATAGTAAGAAGGTGTCCAGACACTTTTGAATGGATAATTGTCCCCTTGCCGATTTCAAAGCTTGTTTCATTATCTGCACAAATCTTTCAGCTAATCCATTGGTGGATGGATAATATGGTGCTGAAGTGATGTGGTGTATCCCATTTGCCTTCATAAACTTTTGAAACTCCTGAGAGATGAACTGCAGTCCGTTGTCACTCACAAGTTGTTCTGGCAGACCGAAACAACTAAAGAGTCCTCGTGGTTTTTGGATAGTACTCTCTGCAGTAGTGGACTGCATTATAGAGACTTCTGGCCATTTTGAATGGGCATCTACCACCACTAAGAACATGCTTCCTTCAAGGGGGCCAGCAAAGTCAACGTGAATATGTTGCCACGGGTTTTCAGGCCAGTCCCATGGATGTAGGGGTGCCCACTGGGGTGCATTCCTCACACCCTGACATGACATACAAGCTCCTGTCTTCTCTTCAATAGCACTGGCCAATCCAGGCCACCAAAAATAGCTTTGTGCAATTTCCTTCATGCGCACTATTCCACAGTGACCGGAATGGAGCTGTTCTAACATCTGTGATCTCAGTGGTGGTGGAATAATGACACGTCTCCCCACAACATACAACCAGATTGGATTGGTAACTCTGTCCTCCTGGACACGTAGGTAACAAGGTCGTGTGAGACCAGAGAGGTTCATCGAGATGTTCCATTCATCACTAGGTCCATAACCTGGGACAATACTGGGTCAATGTGAGTTGCCTTCTTTATCTGAATAGCGATGATGGGTGTATTCTCTACCTGTTTAAAGTAAAAGATTTCCTTCTGGGCAATATCTCGATGGTTGACTGGCAAAGGCAGCCTTGAAAGACCATCTGCATTGCCGTGCAGAGTGGATTTCCGATATTTGATTTCATATGTGAGCACGGAAAGCAACAATGCCCACCGTTGCATACGACTAGTGGCTAATGGAGGAATGCCTGTGTGAGGTCCAAAAATTGAAGTCAGGGGTCGATGGTCTGTGAGAAGAATAAACTTCCGTCCGAACAGGTACTGATGAAACTTCCGAATTCCGAAAATGATTTCCAATGCCTCACGTTTGATTTGGGCATAGTTAGTTTCTGCTTTGCTTAGAGTGCGTGAAGCAAAAGCAATAGGTCTCTCTTCTCCTGAAGGCATAATGTGTGACACGACTGCTCCCACTCCATAAGGGGATGCATCACAGGCCAACTGTAGGGGTAAGGATGGATCAAAGTGCGTCAGAACTTCAGAATTTAGCAATGCATCCTTAGCTTTGTTAAATGCAACATCACAGGCTTCAGTCCACTTGCAGGCCTTGTTCTGGCCAAGGAGTTCGTGAAGTGGTTTTAGCAGTGTGGCTAACTGTGAGATGAACTTTCCATAATAGTTCAATAGTCCTAGAAATGAGCGAACATTTCGAGGAGGGGGAGCCTCCACAATAGCCTTAACTTTGGCAGGGGCCTTACAAAGACCTGTAGCATCAATGATGTGTCCCAAATATTCAACAGAGGGCTGGAAGAATTCATGGACTCTTTGCGGACTTGCAGTCCATACTCTTCCAGTCTTTGTAGGGTAGCCTCTAAATTCTTTAGGTGATCCTCCTCATTCCTTCCAGTGACCAGGATGTCATCCAGATAGCACTGGACTCCTGGCAAGCCACACAAAATCTGGTCCATAGCCCTCTGGAACAGGGCGGGAGCAGATGTTATTCCGAAGGGTAGGCGACAGTATCGATAAAGCCCCTTATGCATCACAATAGTCAACAGCTCTTGGGACTTTTCATCAACATGCATCTGTAAATACGCTTGACTCAGATCAATCTTACTGAACTTTTGTCCCCCAGCCAGGCCTGCGAAGAGGTCATTGATGCGGGGAAGCGGGTATTGCTCTGCATATAACACCGGGTTGACAGTGACTTTAAAATCACCGCAAATCTGGAGGGAGCCATCTTTCTTCACTATTGGAATGATAGGAGTTGCCCATGGGCTATGGGTAACTGGTATCAGGACTCCATTTGTGACCAGGCGCTCCAGGTCCGCTTCAACTTTCGGCCTGATGGCATATGGCACAGTTCTGGCTTTCAGATATTTTGGTTGACTGTCAGGTTTAATGTTCAGTGTCACAGTGATTCTCTTCATACTTCCCAGATCCTCTCCAAAAACAGCAGCATGTTTCCTTAGTATAGTGGTCAGACCGGTTTCTTCTTTAGTCACTCGGTGCACTTCTGCCCAATTCAGCTGGATCTTCCTAAGCCAAGACCTACCCATTAAGGCTGGGTAATTACCTCTCACCACAAACAGTGGCAATTTATCAGTCTGTCCATTGAGCTCCACCTTAACATCAGTAGTGCCCAACATGGGCACAGCTTCTCCCGTATATGTCTTCAGCACTGTTTTTGTTGCTTTAAGCGGAAGATGCTGTTGCTTTTCTTTATACACAGTCTCTGAGACCAGCGAAATGGCTGCACCAGTGTCCAGTTCCATGCGTATAGGTTTGCCGTCCAACAACGGGGTTATCCAGTATTCATGTGAGCCCACTGCCAAAGACAAAACATGGAGTGGCTCTTCTTATTGTGAGGAGGTATCTCCTTGGTCATCCTGGGTCTGCTCTAGGGTATGCAGATTTCCCTTTTTGGTCGGCCAGACCACAGGCCTCTTTTTCTTTTGTTTACAGGCATACTCAATGTGTCCTTTTTTGCCACAGTGTCGACACACCAGGTCCTTACACCAGCATTCTGATGCAGGGTGACCCGGCTTACCACAGCAGTAACATTCCTGACTCCCCACAGTTTTGTGGGTAGGTTCTTGACACCTTATGCACCCTAGGGGATGCACCAATGGATTGTGCCTCCTTTGTAGCCAGTTCCATGGAGACAGCAATATCAATGGCCTTCTGTAAGGTAAGTTGAGCCTCTGTCAATAGGCACTTCCATATAGCTTCACTGTGGAGGCCACACACTAACCAGTCACGTAGGGCATCATTTAACATCTCCTTAAATTCACAGTGTTCTGCAAGCTTTCTCAAAGTTGCTACAAATTGTACAACTGTTTCATCTTCTTTCTGGTCTCTTTTGTGGAACCTATATCTTTCAGCAATTACCAGTGGTTTTGGAGAAAAATGGGACCCCAGGATTTCCACAATGTCACTGTAAGATTTAGTCTTTGGCTTAACAGGGTGTAGTAAGCTGCGTAGCAGGGAGTAGGTCTTAGCCCCTACGACACTTAAGAATATTGGCACCTTCTTCTCTTCTGTAATGTCATTTGCAATAACAAAAAGCTCAAAATGCTTAGTATATACATGCCATTGCACTGTAGTCTCCTCAAAAGGTTCCAGTGGCCCTGTAAATGTAGCCATGATTTTAGTTTCAGTTTGCACAGTCAGTGCAAACAAGCCAGTTCTCACCCCCTTCCAGCAGCAAACAAGGTTTGTTTGTTTTTGTACCTTAGCTTCTACTTCTTTCTGTTGCTGGGGCAGCACAGATATCCCATCCTCGTCACCACGTTGTTATATCTTTGGGGGCAACAGTTTTAGCAAAAAATCACTGGAGACACAGAGAGCTGTAAACCTTGGAGCAGCCATTTATTGCTACACATACAACTAACCAACAGCCAGCCAAAAACTGGCTGGGCTATCCCTTAATAATCTAACTCAGTTGCCATAGCAACACAAGATTCTATTACCACGACAACCAAATACACAACATTAAGTAGCACTCTGTCTGGTATCTATGACCATGATTTTAGGAAAGAAAAGTCTTGTTTTGCTTTTTCTGTGATTATATTGTGCAAAGTGACTCTGTAATATTGGCATCTTGTGGTTAGGGCTAAATTAAGGCAATCCAAGGCCTCAGGCCCACCCTTCAATGGGTTCACATGCTATCCTCTTTAGGGTAGCAGCAAGTGTCAGAGTGAAGATGTATGGGACAAGCACACCTCTGAGAGTTATTGTTTCAGGCTCTGTATAGACTCAGACAGGCACTGGTTACCTTTGGGTCACAATTTCAAGCTTTTCTTAGCATTCATGAGGGCTATTTTAAAAATCAAATGAAAGCTGAGATTCTGACTTCGTTGTGTCACTCTAGGAGCTGGGACATGAGACATGGCCCTAATAGTGCCTATGCTTTAATCTGGCACAGCCTGTGGTTCAATTTTTATCGTTTCTCAATAATTCCATATCACATTTCTGTAGTTTATTAGTAAAACAATGTTGTCTCTAACTTGTAGCCCTGCAATCTCTACCTGAGATTGAAAGTCAAACTGGATTCTTTCTGGTCTGTGCATCACCAAGCGTAGGAAAGATTCAACAGTGAAAATGGTTGAAACTTTCTAGATGAAAATTTTCCTGTCAGAAAATGTGGTTTTGTCTAATTTCTGCAGAAAAATGTAGAGTTAGACAAAGTTTTTTTGAATTTACGATTGGGGAAATCAAAGGGAAAAAGTTCACTTTGAGTTGACATGTCAAAATGAAATGTTGGTTTGAAACTAAAAATGCCATTTCAAATGTTGATTTGTTTAATTTAAATTGAAATTGTTGAAATTCTCTGTTTCAACATTTCCGATTCAAACCTTTTCAAAATTTTTTGTTCCATGAAATTTTTTGCTATTTTGACTCTGTTTGTGCAGAATGGAAATTTATTGTGAAATACCAACATTTCCTGAAGGATTTAGTCAGAATTTAGCTAGCAATTCTGTTTGGTTTATTCTGTTATAACAGAGTGTAACTAACTATAAAAACTAAACTTGTTTGTACAGAATTTAAAAGGAAAAACATGGACCCTAAACCTGCAAACTTTTAGGCTAGGTCTACAGTACCACTTAAGTCAGCAGTTCCCAAACTGTGGGTTGCGACCCCAAAGTGAGTTGCGACCCCCTTTGAATGGGATCACCATGGCTGGCTTAGACTTGCTGAGGCCCAGGGCTGAAGCCCAAGCCCCACTGCCCAGGGCCAAAGCCAAAGCCCCAGGGCTTCAACCCTGGGTGGCAGGGCTCAGGTTGCAGCCCCCCCTACTGGGGCAGTGGGGCTTGGGTGGGCTCAAGCTTTGGTCC